TTTATTATATGACAAAATTTTCATGTCAAACTATTAGAATTAGTCACATTTTTATATGGAACTTACTTGACTAATTTAAGTAGTTTAGTCCGAAAATTTTATTAGAAAGATATATTAGAAACTTAATTTATTATTCAATGATAAAATGGACATGATTAGAGATACATATTGAAGAATTATACTATTATAAAAAAGAAATTGAAATCTCATATGAATAGAATGATAGCATGAGTATAGACAATTTTGACATCATCTAAAACATGATTATCTCGTACATATCAAAAGTGTTTGGTTGATGGTAGCATAAAAAAAAAAAAAAAAAAACATAGGTCATGATATCTAAAAGGAATAAAAATGTTGGAAGGTTTTGAAAGAAAAACTTTTTTTTAAAAAAATTAAATTAATTTGAATGTTGATTTTCATTTAACTATGGTTTTGAAAAAGGAAAAAACATGATGTTGTTAAATGAGTATTAAAGCTAGTAGAGTTTGAGGAAATCTTGAGAAGCTAAGGATCTTTAGTTTTATCATATTTGTTTTAATAAAAAAATATATAGAAAATTTTCTATTGATTTTCTTTTCTTTTCATTTTTTGTTAATTTTTTTTATTATTTTTTTGAATGATATTGAGATATTTCATAAATTTTAAAAATAAAATTGAAATTTACATATCCGACATTAATGGACGAAAAGAAAAAAATTGAAATAAAAGTGAAAAATATGAGGCTAATCGGGGAAAAAAAAAAAAGGATGTAGATGGTGATTGAAACAAATCAAAGATTTTAAATGAAATTAAAAAAAAAACCCATAAATTTCGGAGATGTAAATTAAAATTTACCCTATGAAATATAACAAGAAAAAAAGAAAAATAAAACAAGTTGCCAGTCGTACGACAGAAGCAAAGCGTTTTGGTCAACACGTGAAATTCTTTTTTTATTATTTTAATTCGTACCGCCCGAAAGTTAAGCTCACACAAATGAAGTTCCAAAAGATCATGCCCTTCTTAGTGGCCCCTAAGAACAAGGTTTTTAGTTGACTTAAGAAGAAGAGACAATAATATATATTTATCTTGATGAGTAGTTGATGTTTGTTGAAATCTGTTAATAAAAGATCTCAAGACGCTTCATTCACGGAATTAGCGTAAGGGACGGGGTCTAACTTTGGTTCCAACTTACAAGCAGCTGGATACCTACCTACGCTTCACACATTCATAACCCAACAAAAAGTCCTATCCATCTTATGTTTGAAATGACAAATGAGTTTGCTACTTTTCTATCATTTCGGTTTCCAATTTGAAAAATCGGAGAAAGGAATCCGTTGCGATCAATATATCGTGGTCAACAACTTGTCTAATACTTAATTAAATATAGATTTACTGTGGAATTTTGTTTTAAATTATTCTAACAATGAGGTTGCAATTTTTTTTTAATAATAACAATAAATAAATAAAATTTATCGTTACAATAAAAAAATAATGAACTGTGCTCTCTCCCTTTTCCTTAAGAATTCACACCTCGGCCTATTGGCCCGGAAAAAACGCAATTTTTCTTTTACTTTCACTACCACTCAAAAAAGGACATTTCAATTTGTTATTAGGCCCCTCAAGAAATTGAAATTGGATATTGGAGCTCCACCACCACCGCCTGCTGGTTAAATAAATCTGGACCGTATCCAACTAATTAAAGTTCTAGATGCAAGGAGGAAGAAAAAAAAGTTTCAAATTTCTTAAAGTCAAATCAATTTACCTAGGGAGGATTCATGAAATTATTTAGCTGGTATGCATCATCCTTATATTATTAAAATATACCCATTAGATTTTACTTTTATTCTTATGGAGTTTTTCTAACAACCCATTTGTCTAGAGAGTCGACAAATAGAGTTACTATTGAGTTTTTTTTTATTAATAATAATAATAGTAGCTACCTCTCAATATGGAGCTTCTTTCTTTAGATAACCACAAAACCTGGTAATTGATTATTGTTATTATTATTATTTTTCAATTTTTGGTAACAGCATCATTGATTAGTTATCTGTTACATTGAAAAAAAAAAAAAAAAGAGCCGCTTTTGCATGTTCCTTTCTTGAGTGACTGACTAGAAATCTCCAGCTTGTAATCATCAAATAATTTTCAAGAGAATAAAATTTATCAAGAGATAATTAAAAGGGGAAAGAAGAAACTGATAGAGACGTTATAGAGTCAGTGGCCATGTGATTTGGTACGGCGGTTTATAAAAAAAAGGATCAACATAACGCATACGAACGTTTTCACGTCAAGTCGTCCACTATTATTGCCCGATTCCGTCACTTGCTGTCGTTTCTTCTGTCGGGGAGATACCGTTAACGATGTTAGGGTTTTGTTTTAGTATGCAAAAAAGGAAAGACAGACTTTTTATGGATTTTTTTCGTTAAATTTATGGTTACAAGAAAACTTAATTATCTTTTTTTCCCCCTTAATGGCAGCCAAGCTTGCTAAAATTAACTCCAAAGGAAAAAAAAAAAAACTAGGCAAAGAAAACTTTCTTTTTATTTCCCAAATCACTAGACATGCACGAAATCTACAAATTGAGAAATTTATTGTGGATTTTAAATGGTATCATGGATATTATTTTTTATGTTCTTTTGTTTTATTAATATTTTTTCTGTATCAAAGTATTATCACACATCCTGTACCAACAATAATGAATTATTTCTCAAAAAAAAAAAAAGTAAACTATATGGCAATTTGTCAATGCACAGTACTACCCTACGTGGGCAGCACTCATAGAGTGATGATGAGAAGAACCTTAAAAGAGGAATACATGTTTAATGGTTTGCTATGAATTTACATACACGGCATGCATGTAAAGCTACGTTTCTAATATATAATTGATTGATTAATGCTTTTCTACTAAAATTAGTAAAGTATTCTACAAAAGAGCCAACCAAGCTACTCTCCTTAGATCATGACAAGCACCACATTGCACTTTTTGCTTAAAGCTGCATCAAATAAAAAGATTTGTAATTTTTTAAATGTTCATATAAATTAGAACATATTATATATAAAATCGTGACATACTAATTCCATCTGATTTATGATATTATCTACAAAAAATAATACATGAATCCTATTACATAATATTGCATTGTGAAAGTTTTATTGTTATCTTAAAAAAGAAAAAAAGAACAGTCTAATAGAGACTGTAACCATTTTCATGGAGAACCTGATAATTATATGGCCATTGATTACAGATTTGAAAAGTGAAAAAAAAAAAAAATACCCAACGGTGGAGATTACTACTTACTATTAAACTTAAGCTAACAAAAATTTAACGACGTCAATGCTATAATTAGAGTAGGACATATGAACACATGGTTCCAGCAAAACGATAAGACACTGTTATCTGACGCCGCCAAGTCTGTCCCCTCTCAAATCCCTAAGGCGCGTAAGGCGGGTCCCAAAGATCGTTGGTCCCAGCACAGCAACCATTTCCCTTCCAGGGGGGATAATATAATTACACTATTTCACGCCAATACTAAACTAGTTTCCTCCTATGAAAACATAAAAACTAAACATAAAAAAAAAAACATTTTTTTAATAAAATATAAAAATTTATTCTTTTTTGACATAATCAATTGAAATTCTCAAAATGAGTTTAGCTGAAGCTTTTGATCTAATAATTAAAAGCTTAAAATTCATACCAAGAAAGGATTTAATCTCAATACAAAAATCCATAAAAAATATTATAAATCACGAGAAAAAATAATATGAAAAATAAAAAATAAATCATCTTTAAATTCACTTTTATTCAGAGATAATTAAAAAAAAATAAATTAGGATTTAATTTTCACGTATATGCTTAGTTTTAAAAAAGAAAGACCTTATTAAGATATTTTATTGACATTGAAAATGAATATAATTATTTTTTTGAAAAATATAGGTCATTCATATCAAAGGGAGAAATTACTTATTTCTAATCTAGACTTAGTGTTATTAATTAACTCTTTTTTGAATATTAATGGTTTCAATATCATTTTCATCCACCAAAATTAAGTTTCCATCCGGTATTCCATAGACATACTATCGTTTGCAAGATGCATATATACTTTTTTCAGTTTTTTTTTTAATTGATGATCATAACGTGAAGAGTAAACCCTCACCACCAAAGTCAACAACTCAAGAGTTACTATTAATTAACCAATAATACTAAGAAGGCCTCTTTTTAAAAAACCAGATGAGGTAGAAGCTGTGAAACTTGAATTCAATAAAGACAGAAATAGACCTCGGTTTACATGGACATTCATATAACATGGCAGTTTCTGTTAAAAAATCCCAATCTCTACAAAGATCCTATGTGTCAAAATCAAACCCAATTATCCTTTAAAAACATTAACAGCTGAGTTTTATGTGTGTGAGAAAGAGAGAGGGAGAGGGGCAGAGAGAGAGTTGTGTGCGTGTGTTATTTATTTATTTATTTTAATGAAGCAAGAAGTTTCATAACCCCTTTCTTCTTCTTGTGGGGTCCCCCTTTTCACTGGTAAATGACAGCCTAATCACCAGCCTGGAAAGGGTTGTTATAACATTAGCTGCCCACTACAAAGATCTCTGCTTGATGGGTGTTCATGGCTACATTCATTCACTATCAACTGGATTTTGATCTTTGACTGCAACCCAGTTACTCTTCCTCAGCGTCTCTCCTTTTTTGCTTTCTTCTTGAGGTAAGAGTGTATATTTCAGCAAAAAGTTTTTGTCTTTGCAAGTATTTGGATTGCCTTCTGTTTTATAGTTTGATACTGTTTTTTCATAGGGTTAAGTTTGGTTGAAGTTGGTCTAGATAGATCTGAGGTTTGTGAGGATACTGTTTTTGAGGCATTGAGTGGTTGGGAAGCTAGTTCCTAGCATTTGGGTTCTAAGGCTTCAGGAATTGGGGTTTGGGAGCTAGGCAGTTCTAGTTTTTATTTTTTTGAGTTGGGACTTGGGCATTCTTTGGCTTGTTAGGAGCTTGAGGATTTAGGATATAGCAAATGGTGAGGATGAAACTAGTGAGTTGGCTACCTGTAGTTGTTGCTTTTGTTTTATTTGAGTTCATTGGTCATAATAGATCATTTGCTGCATTCACTCCTCCTGATAACTACTTGATCGCTTGTGGTTCTTCACAAAATGTCACCTTTCAAGGTAAAACTTATGTTCCTGATTCAGGACATTCCTTTCTCACTTTAAAAACTGGAATTTCTTTTGTTGCCAAGTCCAATTCTAGTTTCCCATCTCCTATCTATCAATCTGCCCGAATTTTGTCTGGTACATCATCTTACAAATTTGACATTAAGAAAGAAGGCAAGCATTGGATCCGCCTTTATTTTTACCCTATTCCAAACTCAGGCCAAAACTTGAGGTCTGCGTCGATTACTGTAGCCACAGATGATTTTGTGCTCTTGAACAATTTCACATTCAAGAACTATAATGGTTCTTATATGTTCAAGGAGTATGCAGTCAACGTAACTTCTGATACTTTGACCCTTTCCTTCATTTCTTCAAACAATTCTGTCACATTTGTTAATGCAATCGAAGTTGTTTCTATCCCTGATGGAGTACTTCCAGACCAGGCATTAGCTATAAATCCATCTACCACCTTTAGTGGTCTTTCTGAACTTGCCTTTGAAACTGTTTTCCGGTTAAACATGGGAGGTCCCTTGATCACTGCTGAAAATGATACTCTTGGAAGAATTTGGGAGAACGATGCAAAATACCTCCATATGAACAGCTCTGCATTGAATGTTTCAGTTAACCCTGCATCCATAAGATATCCAGCTGCTGTAACTACCGAAATAGCACCAAATTGGGTTTATGCCTCTGCTGATGTAATGGAAGATCCAAATGTAGCTGACTCGAACTTCAACATAACTTGGGTGTTCTCTGTCAATCAAAACTTCAGCTATTTTGTGCGGGTACACTTCTGTGATATCGTGAGTAAGGCTCTGAGTGATCTTGTATTCAATCTGTACATAAATGATGATATTGCCGTGGAAAGTCTTGACTTCTCACAATTTACTGGTGGATTGAGCATACCCTATTACAGAGACTTTGTCTCCAACGCATCAGTAGATTCAGATACATTCACTGTAAGTGTTGGTCCAGATAAAACATCAGATATGACAAATGCAACTATGAATGGGCTGGAGATTTTCAAAATCAGCAATGAAGCTAAAAGCTTGGATGGGCTTTTGTCTATTGAGAGCCTCCTTCCTCAATCACCCTCGAAGAAAAGCAAGATTGGAATTATTATTGGTTCAATTGTTGGAGCCATGGCTGCATTTGGTTTGATTGGACTCTGTTACTGTCGTTTGGTAGCCTGCAGGTCAAAGACTACTACTCACCAGGCGCATCCATGGCTGCCATTGCCATTATATGGAAACTCTCAGACCATGACCAAGATGTCCACAACTTCTCAAAAGAGTGGAACAGCAAGCTGCATCTCATTGACTTCCTCCAATCTTGGTCGGTTCTTCACATTCCAAGAAATCCTCGATGCCACAAAGAAGTTTGATGAGAGCCTTCTTCTTGGGGTTGGTGGTTTTGGCAGGGTGTATGAAGGAACCATTGAAGATGGAACTAAAGTAGCTGTCAAAAGAGGAAATCCCAGATCCGAACAAGGTCTTGCTGAATTCCGAACTGAGATTGAAATGCTATCCAAGCTTCGCCACCGTCATCTTGTCTCGCTTATTGGCTATTGTGATGAGCGGTCTGAAATGATTCTTGTCTATGAATACATGGCTAATGGACCCCTCAGGAGCCATCTATACGGCACTGATCTACCGCCTTTGCCATGGAAGCAACGACTTGAAATATGCATTGGGGCTGCCAGGGGCCTGCATTATCTCCACACAGGTGCTGCTCAAAGCATTATTCACCGAGATGTTAAGACAACAAACATTCTGTTGGATGAGAATTTCGTGGCCAAAGTTGCTGATTTTGGCCTCTCGAAAACAGGCCCAGCTCTTGATCAGACCCACGTGAGTACAGCTGTTAAGGGTAGCTTTGGTTACCTCGATCCTGAGTACTTCAGAAGGCAACAACTCACAGAGAAGTCAGATGTGTATTCATTTGGAGTGGTTCTAATGGAAGTTCTCTGCACTAGACCAGCTCTAAACCCGGTTCTCCCAAGGGAACAAGTCAATATAGCAGAGTGGGCAATGACCTGGCAGAAGAAGGGCATGCTGGATCAAATCATGGACTCCAATCTAGCAGGAAAGGTGAATCCAGCTTCTCTCAAAAAATTTGGGGAGACAGCTGAGAAATGCCTTGCAGAGCATGGAGTTGACAGACCATCAATGGGAGACGTCCTATGGAATCTTGAGTATGCTCTTCAGCTTGAGGAGACCTCATCTGCACTCATGGAACCTGAAGATAACAGCACAAACCATATCCCGGGCATTCCGTTGACGCCACTCGAACCATTTGATAACAGTGCAAGTATAATTGATGGAGGGAACTCTGTAACAGATGATGATGCTGAAGATGCTGCCACTAGTGCTGTATTTTCTCAGCTCGTAAATCCTCGTGGAAGATGAGAACCAAATGGTTCCACTTCTTGGACAAAGGACATTCTGGTGAAGATATGGATGTCTGGGGAGAGTTCATGGAAAGATGCGAAGGATATGAACTAAGGTTATCTCTTATTACATTATTCAAATTTTTTACCTCAAATTTCCCTTCATAGCTTGTAACATAGTTGAGTGATGGGTGTGAATCAATCCATCAGATATTGCAAGGAACCATAAGGGTTCTATCATTGTCTTGATCTAAAATTCTTCTGGCTTCCAGCTGCCATGTTATTTATTTTTCACACAATTACTGGATATTCAATGTACCGGGTTTTACAAATCTTTATATTCACAGATTGATTATAGAAACAAGGCACAGCTCACCATCTCAGTAATCTGACTGACTTGCTATGCTAGCTTGAGTTTGTAATGTCTTGTATCTCTGATATGCTACTACGTCACCTTGACCACTATACAAATTCTCTCCAGGTGTAAAACATGATTCGCGTGAGCTCATTCTCAATACTGAGATTTAATGTATTCTCCAAATCTTCCACTTTCTAGTTCTTGTGGTCTGAAAAGAACTATATAAATCTTCATGTGTGATAAATTGTGCATTTTAGGCAGCAAAACTGCGCGGTGCATGGCATTTCTAGCTATTTCAGCATTTTATCTACTTCCTAAATGTAGTCTTTGAGGAGAGCAAAGAGGAGCCACGATTGACTCACAGGAACTCAGAAACCGGAAGGCTTCTGTTCAAGACCAAGAAAAAAGAATGATGATACACACATACACACATATAACTCCTTGGTGAATAACCCCTAGTTAGCAATTGCCGCACAATCACTAGGCACCGTTGGGTGTGTTCAATCTAAGACCTTGGACTGGATTTTAGCCCTATGTAGACCCAAGGTTGAATGCTTTTAACCCTGATATTCTCTGTGGGGTCTGGATCGGATAGCATAGGATTCAGATGTCCTTAAAGCCAAAATTTTGTCTGGATTGAATAGCTTTAGCTTTTGCTACTTGAGAAGGGAGATAAAAAAAAAAAAAAAAACAAATTCCCTACTCCTAAAGCTTATGAGAGTGGATGGGATAAAATAGGATACAGATGAACTGGTGCCTTGGAAATGGAGTCTGAATTGTTGGCAATTAAGATTTTTCTTGTGACAACATATAGTTTGCAAATCAAGGCAACTAAGATGACTATTCCCTAATTTCCAAACTAGATCCTCCTACAGAATTGTCTTTTACTCTGCGAACAAGTTCGGATTCCAAGTTACAGACTTTTTTTTTTTTTTTTTTTTAATACATAAGCAAGGCAAATGTAGGATGGATCCTCGATTCGCATAGGCGAGAAACGAAAGAAACAAGGCTACTGTCAAGAGTACACCATAAAGCAACCACTTAAATACTAAAGTTTTGAGAATACAAATTTTAAGAACTACAAAACACAGTGGTAAAAATTTTAAATTAAATTGGAAATCCTTGTTTCGTAGCAGATCATAATCCTCCTGAAACTCTTGCTGACTAAACTTCAATTACTCTGAAAGAAGTAGAAGCTTCCGGTGTTCTTTCTGCACATGACACTCATTTCCTGCAAACTATTCCATGTCCACTGTTGGAACCTCCAGTGCAATCAAGCTTGCTATAATCCATCAGAAACGAGTCTTTTTGGTTCAAAACTCCAGCTGGAGAGAACACGCAGGCACCACAATAGGCAGAGAGAAGAGAAGTTGTCCTATACTTATCCTCTCCTCCCACAACTGGCATTGCAACTCCTGGCTTTGCAGGGTTTTTGAAATCAGGCTGGTAAGTCCTGCCAATTACCCCTTCAACTTTTGACGATAGACCATAGAACTGGAACTGAATCTCTAAGTGAGCAAAACAGTCATCAGAAGGTATCTGATAGTTATGAATTCTGTCATCTTCTTTGGTTACTGGCACAACATTGATTGAGATCTCTGCAACTTCTGGGAGAGTGACTATGACGCTGTTCTTGCTTGACATTCTCTGTACTTTAATATCGCTTTCTGGGGATTGCCATGAAGATAAGCGGCCCTCTGGTATGAGTATCTCTTTCTCATTGTTGGAGAACTTTAGATGGTCAACCTCATCATTCCAGGTTGCTGCTTTGGTGACCTCAAGAGAGAAACTGTGCGAGTCAAAGAGGATACCAAGGGCTTGAATCCAAGTATAGTCCCTGGTTCTGCCTGCTGGCCGGAGGCCAATGAAGCGGGCATTGATATGTAGGTTGAGATCAGATACTAAGCTGAAATGTTCGTTGCTCTTGCCATGAAAGTAAAACACAATGCCATCTGCACCAATGAACCGGGGATCCAAGCATGCTGCTCCAGGTGCATTGCAATTCGGTTTAATATCTATAATCACCGAAGAACATCATTTTGAGTCAAGGGACTGTGATTTATGAAATTATAAAACTGTTGTAAATAAATAGTCTTACTTCTGCATTCGGTCTTGCATAAGGGCGAATTACAGTTCAAACGGCAAGCTTTTGTCACTTTGGGGTTGGTTGGAGATGCTTGTGGGCATTCAGCTGGGCATGCCAGCTTCATGCGAGCACATGGGCCGCTGAAACAGGTTCGAAATTCGGCATAGATTTGTGATGCTCCAGATACAAGTAGCAGAATGATCAACAGGCCATTGCTAATCGAAACCTTCATCACTAAATTTTCTTCAATGGCCTAAAGATACAATAGATTGTTGATAACCTAACCGTGTTGATACTTGCCTTCATTACATTCTGCTCTCTCTATATAGATTTTAGCAAGAGCCGAAAAAGAAATCCAACTTGCAAATTCATTTTTTTGTTTAGGTAAATCTTACATGTGGTTGTCCTTTAAGTACATTTATGGATTGTTAATTTCGGTCAATGCTTTGGAGCTCGAATCATCATTTTGAATTTGCACTCCAAGTGATTCCCCTTTCTTTCACAGTGAAGACTTCAAAACATTTCCAAGGGTGGCAAAGGAGACTTATTGGTTTGAGTGTGCATTAAACTATTAAAGGGAGTCTACAGGTTTAGTCCATGTGACTGCAAACACCCTTCTTGCCCTGTAAACCGCTATAAATTCCTATTTTTGTGCTGCTGCATGTTCCTTATTTGTGTTGCCTCACTAATCATAAAGGACATGAATAATTGATATGAACAACTAAAGAGATGAAAAAAATGAATAGTAATTACTGTTTATTTTGTAACAAATCACTATTCATTGTATGACAATTCTGGTATTTTTAGAATGACCATAGTTTCGTGATTTCTAGATTATTTTTTGACATTAATATACAAATTTTACATAATGTTTCATTTTCGTCTATGATGCTGCTAAAATATATTTTTGGTTTCTCATGTTATTAAAAGATGTTTTTTCCCCTCATATTTTCACTTTATTCCATTTGGGTCCCTCATTTTTTCAAAAGATATTTTTGGTCCTTTATGTTCTTAAAAGATATTTTTAGCCTTTTATGTCTTTAGAATTTAGAATTAATATATATATTGGATTATATTATTCTTATTATTTAAAATAATCTCTTCAATTTGTCATTTTGTTTTTTTATAGAAGTTCTCATAAAATTAATTTTTTATATAATTTTATTTGTTAATAAATATGATTTATTTTTTTTACGTATATAAATTTTTAAATAATTTTTTTTATAAAATAAATAATATAATTTAAGTATTTTATTTGCTTATTCTTGACATTATCAATTTTTATCAAAATAAAAATTTTAATTATTTTTATTACAATATATTAAGTTCAATATATTCATTACCACTTAAGTTTTTTTTTTTTTAAATATTTTCTTGATTTATATGACACACTCGATCCACCGAGTATGACCGTGATATATATATAAAATTAAGATCATTAATTTTATTGAAAATTAATTATACATCTTTACACATAATACCAACTATTTGCTATTATTATTTTTTAATATTCTAAAATCAATTTTTTTTAAAATAAAACAATTGAATTATTATTTTAGAAGAACTACAACCTAATAATTCAAATACATCTTTTTATGCTAAAATTGTTGATTGTTTCGTAAATAAATAAATATAAATTAAATTTACAAATTTTTGAAAATTTGAAAAAGATTCGTTAGTTAATTTTTATATAAGTTTTAATATTAATTATTGCTTTATTTTTTTGATACAATCTAATGAAAAAAAATATGAAGATATTTTTTAAAATTTCAAATTAAATTTTTTATTTACATTATTATAAATTTTTATTTAAGAATGAATGAATAAAGAAAAACAAATCATTTTTTTTAACAAAAAAATTTATGAAAAAACATAAAGAAGAATTAAAAATACAAAATTTTGATTAAAAAATATAAAATTAAATGAAATTTTATTTTTTACCTTTAATATAATATATTTTAGTTGACCGACAGACATAATATATGTTATTAAACTAAAATAAACATGTTTAGTTTGACTTGTCGTGTAGTACGGAAGCCAATTAGTACTCTTTATTCAATTTCAACATCATTTTGTTACTCCCACTTGTACCATCTCGTAGGTTGTCACTTTAGACATCCTCGACTATCAAACTCATTCCCCACAAGAATCAAAGTGTATTATTCGGATTAAATTTTATGCTTTATATGAGTATTTATTTTGTTAAGTATGTTCATGGCATGCTTGTGATATGGATGATAAGTTTTTCATTTGCAAAATTATTATTAACTAAGTGCTATGTGTGAATACTAAATTAATTGGCAAGTGAAGAACTAAGAAAATATAATTTAATTAAATATTCTCGTACATGTATAACTTAGAATTAAAAATTTAATTAGTGTCCTAAACATGAATTAATTTAGAAAATAATATCCTACATAGGTGTTCCACCTTAATTAAAATGTCTAAGTATAAAACACTTACCTTAGAACATGTGGCTCATAAAGTTTATTTTGGTCCAAAGAAATTTTATCCAAAAGAGGAATAGAAAGAGGAACAGAGTGGTTTGGTTTTCATTGGTTACTTCCATCCATTTGAGAAGATTAAAACTTGAAAGAAACCTAGATCAACAAGAGAGAAAGCTAGAGAGAACCGAAATCTACCAAGGGAAGACAAGCTTAACCAAGAGAAAGACAATTGGATGAGAAAAGATTGGACTTTAGGAGGGAAAATCTAAATAGATTTGCCAAGAGCAAAAGCAAGGAGAAAGAGAGGAAATCTTGAGGATTTTAAGGGGATTTTCATTTCAATTAGACATAAGGTAAGTATCACTTCAACTCATCACAAGACTTACGATGATTATGTATTGAATTTGTATAATTGTATGCTTAGAACCCTAAGGATTTCAAATTGTGCAATTGAATTATTTGTATTCAATTGATACTTGAATTGTGAAATTAATAGATGATTGACTATTTTAATTTTATGGAAACTGTTTAATTGATGATTGATATTGTGATGATGATGGGTAAGTATAATCTCACCCACACAACTAGTAGTTTAATGTTTGAATGATTAATTATTGTTTCTTTGTGAAATGAGAATTTTGGTCTATGTTGAAATTGTGTGATAATGTATGACTTGAGTAATTGATTGTATATTTATATGATTGGTGAATTAATGAACATGAATGGGTGATTGGATGAGAGAAATAGAAGCTTATGGAATGTATTCATTGGGATGAACCATTCGGCCAAGATTAGGAAGAATAGAGAGATCGTTTTGTAGGTAATTGATGCATTCTAGGTGTTTGATTGAATTTATAAACCATGTTTTGACTTGAAATTAGAGTGAAATTGATTGAATGGAAAAGATAGTCGGGCTTGATAGATTTGACCAACTTAAAAAATAGAGTGAAATGTGTATGTGTATGAATTATGAATTAAATGGTGATGAAGTAAAGTTAAGTAATGATGTTTTAAGATTTAAGAAGAAGAAATCACTTAGTTGCTTAGCAAGAGAGCCATTCGGCCAAGTCTCAAGTTTGAGGGATTATGAAATTTAATTGTTAAACAATTGAATTTAGTGACTTTAGCTTTGATTAGTTAAAGTTAGATACAATGAAATGAAGAATTAGAATGGACTAAATGGACGAGTAGGTTCAGCCATTAACCCCAATTGACCTATAGATTGAGTTAAATGGATTACATGAAATATTAAGCTTGAATATGAAAATATGACTTATATAGAATGATTGATTGACAAAAATCTCTCGTGCTTGAATGGATGACATATTTGGGCAAGAGTTGAATTTTTGAGTTGTTTGCATGATGCTCCATATTATATTGGATTGTGATGAGTATGCTTGTTTATGGATGAATAGATGTGAAATGCTAGAGAATGATTGTGTGTATGATGTGTGTGGGTGTGGCCATAGTCAATCGAGGGTGAATTTCCTAAGGTTAAGGTTCATATGAGATTTAGTGATGGATTCATGCCTTTTATGACTTGTTGTTGAGGGTTTTGGATTGTTTGAAAAGTGATTGATTGAGTTATTATTGTGTGTTTTTGCCAATGAAAATTGTGATCCCATACTTTGAGATCCTTTCAAGCTTGTTTTGGAGGTAAAAGAGTACATAACGGGAGAGACAAAACACAACCATGATCATGTGTTTGGAGACACATGTCTAAAAGCAAAACCACACCACTATATGTGTTAAAACGCATGGCTAGAAGTTGTCCGGAACAAGACACATAGCTACCGTGTGTCTATCGGTGCTTTATCTTACATGGGTAGAATGGGTTTTCTTCAATAATCATTTTAAATGGACTAGAAAAATGCAAAATTAGAGTTTTTTTCCTTTATAAAATTTTTATCCCTATCTCTTTCCTTTTCAAAGCATTATATTTTAAATAATTTAGGGATCTATAGTTTTAGTTATAGGCTAAATACTAACAATGACTTAGCATGTCCGCCTAGCTTTAAGATTCCAACTTAGTAGTTGAATTCCTCTATTAGACCGACTTAGTTTGTACTCAAAACCTTAATAGGACTTGTAGGCATGCCTCTTAAATATTTCATGGACTTGTCCTTATATCAATTAAAGTTTTAAAGCTTCGGATATGAATTAAACACTACAATTGATCTAGACTCCAAGTAGAATTTGGATTAGTTTTTAGACTAAAATATGAAATATGGTATTAGTAAATGTGTGTCTTTGGTTAAATAATATGTAGGGCGAGTTAATGGAGGATGGTTCGACCTAGGTAGGCTTAATGGAGAATTTTATAATTATGTCCTGTGAAGGATTTGGCCATGTGTTGTTTTAGCTTATATTCATAAATTATTGATGACATATGAGTTGTGTTTAGGGTTGTTTAAAGCTAGATAATTTTAACCTTGCCATGTCATGTTAATTGTATTTGTGGTTGGTAAGCTTAACAATATTTAGTCTTGTCACGTCATGTGGAATGTATTTAGGAATAATTTAATGTCATATGACTCATGTTTATATTTATGCTTGATATTGTATTCTAATTACATTTATGGCATGAAATATTTTATGCCATGATTTCAAGCATTTAAAAAAGGATATGTATATGATTTTTATAAGGGCATGGTTCTATCGGGATATGACATGGCTAGTCATGTTCAAGAGAGGCAAGAAAAATGATCAACCTTTGTGAGGTTCATTGAATTGAACATGTCTAGAGCCTTTATGACAATAAGAGGAATGATACTATATGTATTCA